TTTAAGTTTGTTTACAAGTAAACTTTGCTTTTTCTGTAACGAGAATGTATTATCTAATTCTTGTTCATTTTTATTCCAGGTAGCCAGAGGTAGTTTCAGATAAATTTGAAAAACGCAACGTCATCTACTGCAGTTCTATGTAACATACTATTTCGTTGCTAGCTGCTAGAATTGCTTGTCATGAATAAAAGATTTATGAACCTTTTGCAGATATTTCGAAAAAATTTCAAAAATCAAGATAGATTTTAAGGGTAAACGTTTTTTTAAATGTTTATTTTATTACCACTTTCTACTAATAACTTTCTTGCAATTTCATTGCATGGCTGCAAACTTCATGTAGTGGTACACTTACTGCTTTCTTTCGCTACTACTTTCAAGACCAACAATTGGTGTTCTTTTACTTCAATCGATTCATCATAAAGCTAAGAACAGAAGATTTTCAGGCGCATAACTTGTGTCTTTTTTTGTAAAACTGTACATAAATAGACATCCATAATCAAGGACGGGAGAAGAAAATTGTAATGTGAACTTGTTACAGATTCCGTACAAATTACTGTAGGACACACGAAACAACTTCAGTTTTAAGCGAAAGAAAAGTATAGACTTTTACAAAATATGGTTTAAAACAAGTGGAGGAATGAAGCTGAAAGGCGGAAACTAAAGACAACCAGGAACAATTGTACGACACGCCGGCCTCAAGTTTTAAGTCACCAATTTCGACATTCCAACTTCGTCATCTGACAAAAAAGTACGATTGAAGATTATTTTGACCTATAGATCTGCATTCACATACATATCGTTTCTTCAGGCTTGCTTGACTGAGCATCCGTTCTGAATGTTCTAGTAATTCAAGACTCAAAAAAAAAAAAAGAATTCAGCAAGCCTCCATAATGAGAAGGCTCTTAATCTCATTCGCCCCGTGTCTAGTCTTCCTGCGTGAGCGATATAAATTAAAACATTTTATTAAACTTTTTGTCTAATTTTTTAAATGCAAATTTATAAATAAATTTTTCTTTTTAACTTTGTAAAACTGTGTTCTGAATTCAAAAGAAAAAATTTTTCTTTATACAGATTTATTCTAAACTCGTATTATGGAAGTTTTGAAACAAATTGGGAGTATACAAAAAAAAAAAATTTGTAATTGAATTTTATTATAATTCTATCATTTCATTGACTTTATTATTGAAAATATGACAGGTAATAACGATTATTAAACGGTTTTAAAAGTTGCTGTTTGGGAAGATAAAATTGGCAATCGTGGATTGCAGTTAACTGTTGTTTTGTAGCCGATACAGCAATTTGATAAAAAAATTTATACGGTAAACTGAGAAAGTTGCCTTCGGCAATGAATACAGTACCGATTTGAAGCAGTTTTCTGTTCTGCGCCATATTTTTTTAATGTTTATAAAGTCCAACTGATGCTTGGTTTTAGTGCCGTTTCTTTGATAGCTGTCTTCATCTGTCTTCTTTGAAACGGGAGACAGATGAAATTTTTGCGCAAAATAAACTGATTAAATTCATTAACTTATGCCTTTTTGATGTTACTGCAGTGCAACATATAACTGCAAAATTAAAGTAATATGTGAAATATTTTATGCTGAAAGATAAAGTGGAAATAGTTATGACATATGTTCAAATCTAGCCGAAGAAAAAAAACTGAAAAAAAAAAGGATTTTTTTGTGTGTGTTTGCTCAATTTTGCTTGATAACTGTATTAAAATAAACAAATGAAAATCAAACCTCAACTATAATCTGCAAGATAAAAAAATGTTGAAAAAGTACATCAATAAACTGTCAGCGCAGTAATATACAATTTTTCTACTTTTTTTTCTTTTAAACCACAATTTTTTAAATCACAATTGTATCGAAAAAAAAACAGATAAAAAATTAATTAAATATTTCGCTTTTTCTTTTTCTGCTTTAATAAATTTTAAAAAACAAAAAAGAAAAAAATGAGTGCAAATGACTGTTTGCAACGCAAAATCTTTGAGCAACTATCATTTTCAGTAATAATAAATGTTAGTCGTATTCAAACAGTTTATTAATTGACAAAATAAATCGTAAGTAAAATAATCTTTATTAAAGTTTTTTATTTGAATTACTGTTCAAATTTTATAAAATTTTGTTGTTTAAACTTCTTTGAATGTAAAACGCTTTTTTTTTTTTTCAGAAGAAAAAGTATAAATTCTTATTGCTCAATCATTGCAATAATATTAAATATTACAGTAATTTCTGTTCAAAAAACTTTCAAGCGTTTGTTTGAATAGGTATTATTAGTATTTATATTTAAAATTTTTAGGCATTCTTACCAAATGTTAATCTGTGACAACTTTGTAGTCAATGCCATTGAAGTTTTGTCTGAAAAAGATCACAACAAAGAATTGATCGTTTGGTGATCTTAATATTGATGATACTACACAAGTTGCTTTGGTCAGCCTCATAAAGTCTCAAGTTTGTTTGGCTTTCAAAGATTTGAAGAAGAAGAAAAAAGAGCAAGAAAGAATACTTGATTCTGACGTCTTTTGAAAGCGACGTTTAAATAAAGTAAAAAGGATGAAAAATAGAGAAAAAATAAACCCCAACAAATGATTAAGTGAAGATAAAAACAAAAAAAAGTAAAAAATTAGAGAACAGAAATAAAAAAGCAGACAGCACTGATTATTCGTTTTTTGCTCTTTTCATTATCAGAGGCAACAGAAGCTACTAAACTAAGGTTTACATTCGCAAATAACAGGTGATCTCCAACACTGTAATATAACTGTTTAAGTCATAAATCATACATGACTATTAGCTATCATATTGTTTTTTTTGTTTTTATTGTATCCTTTATTTTTTATACAAAAATTGTTGTTGCAAAATGTTATTTTTTTTTTCTTATTTTTAGCTTGTCATATAAACTATAGTCAAATGCTTCTGTTACATAACCATATGTGTATATGTATCATTTATCGTGTCACTAAATGTACTCATCTATTGAAAGACGATGCAGGTGACATCGATTGACAATGACGTAACCACCGATCGTTTTTACTGTCATCAAAAAAAAAAAAAGAAAAAAATGATTAAAAAAACAGCTTCCAAATAAACAAAAAAGAAATATATAAAAAAAGAGAATTTTGTAAAAATTAAATAAAATTTTCTAACATTTTCAGACATAAAATTTTGCTTAGTGAACTGCGTCTAAAAATTAATATTAGACAATAATTTTCTTCTTGCTAAACAAATACACCAGTTTTAAATTGGTAATTGACGATCAACAAGACAGCTTTTAAAATTTAAAAAACTTATTGCTGTTCAAAGTGTAGTTTTTTGTCTGCCTATTTTTTTAGCAACTTTTTTCTATAAATTCTATCACCTCTCTAAAAAATAAAGTCATTTATTGAATTTTTTATTACAAATAAAAAGTAATGAAGAAACAAATGGTCAAAGAGTCTTTTTTTTTTGCTACAGTTTAACAGTACCTATCAACCGAATA